GTAAAAAATATCAACAAAAAAACCAACTCTTTATAACTAATATTTTAAGTTGAACACTTCAATCGTCATGTCAGTCATATGATTTTGACTCAAATTCTTTTGCAATAGGCGGAATATTTTTTAGTTTTGAATCCTTTTCTTTATTTTTTTTCAATTTAATTATTTTATGAGTTTCTAGCATCGCAAATCAAATAAAATTAAACCACACGAAACAACAATCAATATTTATTCAATTATTTAAAAAATAGATATTAACGCGTTAAATATCACGATAATATCAGAAAAATAGTCATATAGTCCATAACTATATTAGATAATTTTGTTAATGATGTAGCAAGAAAATTTAAGGTGTCAAAGAAACAATTATTTTATTGCCAAAACACGTTTTTTATGTCACACTATCTATCAAACATCGTATGTCAGACATAGGAGACTGACATAACTTATGTATAACTTTTTTGTGTCAGGCACATATGACTGACATGACGGTTAACAGAAATTTCAATTTGCTTTTTGAATTACTGAATTCAAAATCTTGATGCCCTCAAAAATGCAAATTTTTGTTGACATTCATAAGTTAATAGAATATTGTTTATAGAACAGATCTCATGGTTTTATATACACATACCCATATATATATACCCATATATATATATATATATATATATATATATATATGTATGTATGTATGTATTTATGTATGTATATTTAATATAATATATGCAGAACAAATTAACATACGTAAACAAGTCATTCAGATATTATATATGGCTAAAAAGATGTTCTCCTTTTATGAATATTGATGAAGTATCGATTTCTTAAAAACATGACGTTAAAAACGAATAAAAATAAATAAGAATATAAATCATAATATAAATATTATACATTTTTCGGCAAAAATTTTGATATTATCTTTCTACTAATATTTTGTCAATTTTCTACAGTAAGACTTTCTTAGATCCTTTGTTTTTAGATTTGTTTTAACTACATGCCCAAAGTTTTATATAATAAGTAAATTTGTGCAAATTTTTATTTGTCTTTATTGTTTTTATTTTTCCCAAGACTTACTATCGAATTACGTTTTGAAAAAATTGTTACTCATAAATTTATAATCTGCTTTTTATAACAAAACTATTTAGTAATTATTATGAATTATATATATGTTAGAACAAAAATAAATATTATCAAGTGCTGATGATAAAACGTTTATTTATTAGTCGAATTTTATTTAAAAATATTATACAGTAGAACGACCTAAAAAGACATTTGTTTGGAGCGATTATGAGATTTAAAGTTTATATTGACAAAAAATTAAACGGTGTACCGGTTTTTCGGTATATCGGTATACCGGTATTGCGTTCCTTACTGAGAATTACATTGTAATTTTTTTATGAATTATATAAAAAATTGATTCTCGTGCTAGTTTATAATTTTAAATTACCAAGAATTTAACTTTGTGCGCATTTTCCAGTGTTATATAAATATTTTACCTTTCAAGAAATGTGGGTGCGGCTTTTGCGATAATTAACTTATATTTTTTCTACTCGATATGGAAACGTTCTTGATCTTTTATATATATATATATATATATATATATAAAATACCATATTCTTATATAATACAATAAGATCATTTGTTTTTCTTGTTAAGACATCACAAGACACCTTATATACGACTCGTATGTTATTTATCTTGCAACTTAATACCTGTTTACACTTTTTTGCGAATAACAATTGTTGAAAAAACAGTCAGATAATATATGTATAATATATATATATATATATATATATATACGTATTAACACGTTAAACTCCACGATAATATCAAAAATTCACATGGTTCATGGTTGCTTTATTAGATAATTTAGTTAAAAGAAACTGAAAGCATGAAAAAAATGTTTTTGTTGTCAGATAAATATGATTGACATTTGATTTTTCTCGTCAGTAGAAAGCTTTTCCATATTTCAGTTTGTTCGTCAGTAGAGTTCCTTTTGCTCTCGAATTATTTCCTATTTATTCTGATTTTAATTCATTTCCATTAATTTTAAGTATTTTTATCATTAGTTTAGCTTTAGCTTTTTTGTAAAATGTGTCAAATAAAAAAAATATTTGCCGAGACACTATATTTTGTGTCAGACACATATGACTGACATGGCGATTCACGTGTTAAAAATCAACTTTAACCGAATTAAACCAAATTTACTATTAGTGCGTTATATATGAAATGTACGTTATATATGAAATAAATAAAATATGTAAAATTGACGAATAAAATTTTCTAATAAATTATTAGAAATAGATTGGCAATTAAAGGTTTTTAGTTTATATATATATATATATATATATATATATATATATATATATATTACGATTACTCATATTTATGGCATGCGCTTGTTTCTTTACCTTCAGTAGAAATATTTTTTCTATTTATTTTTAAAATGTCAGGTTGTTTTTCATAAAATAGCACGTGAAATCCATTAAACAGTGATTTTATTTCAAAATAACATAAAGATAAAAAAATAAGTGAAGTGAAAATATTTTAGTGCCATAGGATGACTTCCGTAGGTAAATGATATATTTTCTAAATTAGCTTTTAAGGTCATTATTACAGGTACAAAAATTCCTACCAAAATTCCTACCAAACATTCTTCTTTGTAGGAAATTTATGGGTTTACCTGACTAGTTTGTGTAATTATGGTTTTTCTAATAACATAAAAGTAATTATAATTATTTATAAATTAATAATAATTGTATAATAATAATTTAATACTATAAGGTATACGCGTATACTTTAAATAATTCTGAAAGTTCAATTTATAAATATTACATTTATGTAGTTGATTTTAATTTCTAATTATATTTATCAACTTTTATTTATTTATTTCAAAAATAATTTTAGCTTCAACAGAAATGAACAAAATATGTAACATTTTTTTCATAAATAATCAAGACATGTACATTTAAATTTTACTCGTAATTTAATTTAAAAAAAGCGTTATGATTGAAGAACATTATTGGATTAACTTTTTTAGCTTCTATTTACGCAAACAACTGTTAAATATTTAGTTGTGACAAAATTTATCAAAATTTGTATTTTTTTTAACTCAATTTCAGTGCTTTTTAACTTAATTTCAAACATTTTGCGTAATAAAATCAACAATTCAAAACTACTCGCTTCGACATAATTTAATTTTAATTTATTGATGAGTAGTGAATAAATTTTAATTTATTGTCAGTTAATTTTTTTAAACATAATTAAATTAATTTCTTTGCTCCCAGGGGTACAAATGCTTCCAAATTGATTAAGAAAAATTCTCGGAAAGTTTTAGCTCCTAATATTAGCTCTAACATAGTCCGCAATTCAATAAAAGATCCTTGGTTTTTCTTCCTAAGTAAATACTTATTTCATAAAACATACCAAATTTTTGTTGTAAATTTTTTATTTATGAAAGTTGAAGATGGAAGAAAGTATTTTATTTCGTTTTGAGCACTGTTATTTAGTGTACAATACCTGAATAATTTTAAAGATACTATTTTAAAGTAGATGACAAAAGATGTGTAAGCACACATCACGAAGTTGTCTGGATAAACGGTTTCTTGTCAATTTTTTTAAGAAAGTATTTCATTTTATTATTTGTTATTATCGTGTCGAGTACTGTTATTTAGTTTATGATACCTGAATATATTTTTAGCGGTACTATTTTAAAGTAGAGGGCAAATGGTGTATAAGAAGATATCAAAAAGATGTCACGATATAATCGGTCACCTTTGATGAAATTATTTGTTTCTTCATTAGTTTTTTTCGTTTTGAGCCCTGTTATTTAGTTTACGATACCTAAAATATATTTTTAACGGTACTATTTTAAAGTAGAGGGCCAAAGATTTTTGGGAATGTTATTCTCAAAATTTTGATTCACTTGTCGCTAAGTTATCAAATTCTAAAGAACAAATGGAATTTTACCCATAAGAAACTTTCGTTGGCTTGCGGACTATGTTAAATTTAATATTAGGAAACTTTCAGAGATTTTTTTATAAATTCTGAAGCATTTGAGTCCCTAGGAGCAAAGAAATTCGAAAATATCCATTTTGAGAATCACCCTAATATTATCACGAAAATTATCCTATCAATGTCCTTTATCTACATATATATTAAATTAAGTCGGGCTTTTCTTTTTGACGATATAACTCCAGAAAGCACCGATTTCGACAATTTTGCATTCGTTGGAAAGGTCTCCGGCTCCGTGAGGTTTATAGCTAAGAAAATTAGTTGTGCATGGCATCGTGCCTTAATGCAAATTGCTGAAACTTCACGCACCGTAATTAAAAATTCGAGTAATGACATTAGTGAGAATTATCAGAATTATGTTTGGTTAAGTCAACGAGCAATTCTTGACGCAAAGAATAATGATGTACATGCACTGAATTTCACCATTCAATCAAAAATTGCTGGCGATTTGATGACATACCAATGATTCCGACAGGTCTTCCGTTTGACTTCAAACGATTGCAATTTCCAGTTCGCCTTGCGTTCGCAATAACACGACGCAAGGCCAATTGCTTAGTGTTTGCGGGATAAATTTTAAATAGATTATTTATAAAATCATGGTTTTTCACATGGGCAGTTATACGTTGCCTGTTCACGAGTTGGAAAACCATCCGCTTTATTTGTGTTAACGTCAGACCAAAAAACAAAAAATGTGGTTTTCCAAAGAGCACTTCAATGAAACGAATATTTTGCGGATTCACTTTCATTTACTTAGAGAAGTTCAACTGAAAAACCCAACAGTTCATTTTTGTAATCGCAATAAATTCATTACTGTTGTGCAATAAAATCAAATTTTTCCTTTTCAAATATAAAACAAAAAAAAATTTCTTCATCTTTCTTACGAAACCATCTGGTGGCGAAACGGAGTTCGTCGGGTTTGCTAGTTATAATTAAAACTAGTTGTTATTACAAGATTTTAGAATTTTCTAATTTATTTTATTTTTTTTTTTCAGAATCTCCATATCGGTACGTGGACGGCGAGGTGACCATACACTACAGGTCGCCTGTGAGAAGAGAGGCCCTTGACGCCTGGTCAGAGGAGGAATTGGCCAGGCGACAGGCCGAGGCAATGCGCATCAGGCACAAGGAGGAGAGGCGAAGGAAATATCTACTGGTAAGAAAAAGATAGATACTAAACTACAATGATAACTAAACAGTAGTCTGTCCTAAGGCCTTTATTGTTGATATTCTTCTTCCTCCAAACTAAAAATTTCCAGTCTTCAAATGCCTAGTTGTCTAGCATCCTTGCTGCACTCCTCTACCTATTTCAACGATATCTGTATCTCCTTCATTCAACAAAACCTTTACTTCTTATCTGTCCCATATACATGTAGCGACCTGTCAACACACGTCGCATCTCAACTTGACAGATGTACATTATTTTGGGCTCATCATAGTGTCAGCGCAAAAACAAAAAGTTCAATTGTCCGTTCGGATCTCTCGATTTTTTTCTCCCCACTCTAATTGCCAAAATTATAATTCTTGAAACCTTTTCTTTTTAATTGTAAACACGCAAATACCAACTATATTTTATAAATGATCAATATGATTACACATAGTGTTGTCAATACTAATCATACATAAAATAAACCAAATATAAAACTTAATATTTCGTGGAATTTCTGTCTACAATTTGGATTATTGTCTCTACAATTTTGGTATTTTTACAATATGGACTACGGCATTCCATATACAAATTCTGGATCAGCCTGGGCTCTCTCCAATCCAATTTTGTTTTGAGCACTGTTATTTAGTTCACAATACCTGAATATATTTTTTAAAGACACTATTTTAAAGTAGAGGGCCAATGGTGTATAAACAGATACTACAAACTTGTCACGAGATAAATGACCACATTGTCATTTTTTTAAACAAAGTATTCTATTTTGTTGTTGTTTTTTTTTCGTTTTGAGCACTGTTATTTAGTTTACGATACCTGAATATATTTTTTAGCGGTACTATTTTAAAGTAAAGGGCAAATGATGTATGAACAGTTGTCACAAGATAAACGGTCACTTTGTAATTTTTTTAAAGAAAGTATTTTATTTCACTTTTGGTTATTTTTGTTTTGAGCACTGTTATTTAATTTATGATACCTAAATATATTTTTCAAAAATACTATTTTAAAGTAGAGGACAAATGGTTTTAAGCCAGACTTTACAAAGTTGTCACGAAATAGTTAACCATTTTCAAAGAAATTTAAGAGATTTCATTTTCGTTGCTAGTTTTTTTTTATTTCGAGCACTGTTATTTAATTTACGATACCTGAATATATTTTTCTCAGATACTATTTTTAAGTAGAGGACAAATGGTGTATGAACAGATACTACAAACTTGTCACGCAATAAATGACCACATTGTCATTTTTTTAAACAAAGTATTCTATTTTATTATTTTTTTTTCGTTTTGAGCACTGTTATTCAGTTTACGATACCTGAATATATTTTTAGCGGAACTATTTTAAAGTAGAGGGCAAATGGTTTTAAGCCAGACTTTACAATGATGTCACGAAATAATTGGCCACCTTTAAAGAAATTTAAGAAATTTAATTTTTTGTCGCTAGTTTTTTTCATTTTGAGCACTGTTATTAAGTTTACGATACCTAAATATATTTTTCTCAGATACTGTTTTAAAGTAGAGGGCAAATGGTTTTAAACCAGACATCTAGTCGATGCCAACAAATTTCAAAATCCACATAAAATTACCCCAGTTGACTTTGTCAAAAGCTTTCTGCAAACCATGAAACAGAACATCCTCAGTCCTCATTAGCATCTGTCCGACATTATACTCAATATTCCAGGAAATGATTAAATATTTAATAATTTAGTTGTTCATTCATTTATATATTATTTTAATTTTCACTAATTATTTCTATTTGTTTTTTTAGGAATTGCAAGACATGAACAACCGTCGCCACGCCGACAATTTCACGCCTGACCAGAAATCTCCGATTCCTTTGAATCGTTTTGACGATTTTGTGGGTGCAGAGCCGACGATAACGAACGAGCTGAAAAATCGACCAGAGAGACGAATCGTTGCCAGGGCTTTGTACAATTTCCAGGTAATCATAAAAAAAATTAAAAATAATTTCAAGATATTAATGTTGGTTTGTTTTTCAGGGTCAATCTGCTCGCGAATTGAGTTTCCGCAAAGGCGACTTGATCTATGTCAGGAGACAACTGGACAGAAATTGGTATGAGGGTGAACACAATGCTGCGGTAGGGATGTTTCCATATAATTATGTCGAGGTGAGATATACAATCTACCAAATCTACAACTACAACTAGTCCTAAAATTTTAGTCAACTAACCCCAAATGCGATTTTTTCAAATCAATCAAGATAACTTTAACCCTACCAGGCTCATTTTTTTTTAATTTGTGACAAAAATATATTACTTGTAACTGGTTATCAAAAGATTAGGGAAAATAAACCATTTGGTAAATATTTGTATGATTACATTGCTAAATATCAAAAGCATCTATAAAAATGTTAAGACATATCGCTAATAATAATTTTATGGCTATAGGAACGAAACTTAACGTAGGGTTAAGTAATTTAGTAATCACAAATATTGTTACATATTATCAAAATTGGATAAAATTAAAACATAACATTTAGTACAATTATATACATTGTCTGACAAAAATGACACACCTGCACACTTTTGTACACTGCTTGAGCCCTTGCGACAGTAGTTATGATGACATGATACAAATGGTGAGGTGTAGGGGTATGTCCCAAGATGAAATAATCGGTCACTTTCGAAGAAATTATTTGTTTCGTCGCTAGTTTTTAGCGTTTTGAGCACTGTTATTTAGTTCACGATGCCTGTATATATTTTTAGCGGTACTATTTTAAAGTAGAGGGCAAATGGTAATGGTGTATAACCATACATCACACATTGTCATGAGATAAGAGCCCACGTTGTCATTTTTTAAAGAAAGCATTTTATTTTGACAATTACAAACGTTTTACCACATTATCTAAGTTAGATGAAGTTGTAACATGACATTTAGTACAATTTTATATTGCCTGACAAAAATACTTTACATCCCTGCACACTTTTGCACACTGCTTGAGCCCTTGCTTGACACTAGTTATGACAATATGACGCAAAGGGTGAGGTGTAGGGGTATATCCCCCACCGAGACCAAAAATCATTTTAATACCGTTCAAGATCTTATTGAAAAACGCCTAGTTACCCCTGTTGCAATAAGATTTTAACTATTATTTAGAATAATACAATTTACTTTTTTTTCTTTTTTTAGATTTTGCCCCATGATGGCATACGCCAAGTGCAACGCAAACCTGTCGAAGGCCAAGCAAGGGCCAAATTCAATTTTATCGCCCAAACCAATTTGGAGTTATCTTTACTGAAGGGCGAATTGGTCACGTTGACTAGAAGGGTTGATGAAAATTGGTTTGAAGGTAAACATAGTATAAATAGATCGCAAACTCAGTCTCAATTTTAATTTATTCTGCATTCTATAGGTGCGCCACTAAACTTATCACGTAAATTTACCCCTACGTTTATTTCTAGACAATTTTTATTTCAATGTATAAATATAGAAATAATGAACTTTTAATTAATTAGAATAAATAAAATGTATATATAATAACCAGAGCTATAAAAAAATTATGATCTTGAGCACAGTGGCGCCATCTGTTGAATGCGAAAAGCACTTTCGTTTGGTAAAATTGAGAATGTGTATGTAGATTTTTCTTTATTAAAAACGTCCACCACCATTATCTCAAAAACAAGTAAAGTATGGTATTTTTTTAACGATGTTATTCTAAAGTAGAGTGCAAAAGGAGGTTTAAAAGATCCAAACCATTATTTTAAAAACAAGTGAAGTATGGACATTTTAACAATGATATTTAAAATTAAAAATGAGCACTTTTTGGTTTATGATACTTGAATATATTATTTAACTGTACTATTTTAAAGTAAAGAGCAAAAAATGTGTAACCATATATTCCATCAAAGCTAACAATGAACAGGCGCATTATCGATTTCTTTAAAAAAAAATATTTTACTTCGTTATTTTTTTGTTCAACACTGTTACTTAGTTCACAATACCTGAATATATTTTACAAAAACTATTTTAAAGTAAAGGGCAAATAGTGTATAACCAGACATCACAAAGTTGTCACAAGAAAAACGGTCTCTTTGTCAATTTTTGAAACAAAGTATTTTATTTCGTGGTTGTTTTTTTCGTTTTGAGCACTGTTATTTAGTTTACGATACCTGAATATATTTTTCAGCAAGTACTATTTTAAAACAGAGGGCAAATGATGTGTAACCGGACATCGCATCAAATTGGGCGACAATTTTTTTCATTTGTCTTAAGAAAGTATTTTATTTCGTTGTTGTTGTTTTTTGTCTTGAGCACTGTTATTTAGTTCACAATACTTGAATATTGTTCAAAATACCTGAATATATTTTTCTAAAACAATATTTTAAAGTAGAGGGCAAATAGTGTATAAACAGATACTACAAACTTGTCACGAGATAAATGACCACGTTGTCATTTTTTGAAGAAAGTATTTTATTTCGTTTTGAGCACTTTTATTTAGTTTACGATACCTGAATATATTTTGCAGCAGTACTATTTCAAAGTAGAGGGCAAATAGTGTATAACCAGGCATCACAAAAATGTCACGAAATAATCGGTCACTTATGAAGAAATTATTTGTTTCGTCACTAGTTTTTTTCGTTTTGAGCACTGTTATTTAGTTTACGATACCTAAATATATGTTTCAAAGATACTATTTTAAAGTAGAGGGCAAAAGATGTGTAACCAGACACCACAAAGTTGCCACAAAATAATCTTTAAAGAAATTACATTTTTTTATCGAATATTTAAAGAAATATTTTTTGTTTTGATGAATGCTATAGCATCCACGTCAAGTATTGCGCTTGTATTTTCCGCATTTGTTTGCCTAAGGTAATTAGTGACTAGGGGAAAAGATAAGATAATACGAAAATACTTTTATCATATTTTAATTGTTATATACTAGATGAATGCTATAGCATCCACGTCAAGTATTGCGTTTGTATTTTTTGCAATGTGCTTGCCCATGCTGATTAGTGACTACGGGAAAAGATAATACGAAAATACTGTTATCATATTTTAGTCGTTGTTTACTAGATGAATGCTATAGCATCCACGTCAAGTATTGCAAGTCAAAAAATAATATAATGTGACTATTACCCCCAGGTCGTATAAACAACAAACGAGGCATATTCCCAGTATCCTACGTCGAAGTCCTCGCAGACATCGGCAGTGCTTCCTCGCTGCCAGCCCTGGACACCGCCAAACCAGTGGCGTCCCCGGCAGCCCATTCTCTGATGACGAACGGTGCGAGACACCAGAGCATGGGCGCACATCATTACGTGCCGCCGCCCTGTCCAGGAATCGGGCACTTGGCTGGTTCTACGGGAAATGTTAAGACGACGAGGCCGACTTCCATTGAAAATACTCTGACTGTTGATACTCATACGGAACCAGTGGCGTAAGGAGAAAATATTATAGAGAGAAGGGTATTTTTATTCGGTTTAATTTGATTTAGTTGGATTTTTTATGTTTTAGATATCGTGCTCTGTACAAGTACAAACCTCAGAATTCTGATGAATTGGAGTTGGCCGAAGGTGACATTGTTTATGTTTTAGAGAAATGTGATGATGGGTGGTATGTTGGGTCTTCGCAACGTACAGGTAAATTTGGGAGTTCTAATTTATATAAACAAAAAATTTTAGAATTTTAAAAAAATTATGAAATAAGTTATGATAGTTTGTTTTGAAATCGTTCACGAGTTTGCAAAGTTTGCAAAGTTTCAGTATTTCTAATTATTATAAAATCTAATTTTTTTTAAGTTCAAATTTTTTGCAAGTTTGAATTTTTAAGGAGTTCTAATTTTTTGGGAGTCTAAATTTTTTGGCAATCCAAATTTTTTGGAAGTCCAGATTTTTTGGGAGTCCGAATTTTGTTCTAAAAGTTCAAATTTTGTTCTAAAAATTCAAATTTTGTTTTAGAAATTCAAATTTTATTTTAAAAGTTCAAATTCCGATTTAGAAGTTCAAAGTTTATGAATTTCTACATTTTTTGGAATTTTTATATTTATTAGAATTTCTACATTTTTTGAAATTGCTAAATTTTTTGGAATTTTTACATTTTTTGGAATTTCTACATTTTTTGGCATTTCTACATTTATTGGAATTTCTACATTTTTTGGAATTTCTACATTTTTTGGAATTTCTACATTTTTTGGAATTTCTACATTTTTTGGAATTTTTACATTCTTTGGAATTTCTACATTTTTTGGAATTTCTACATTTTTTAAATTTCTAAATTTTTTAAATTTCTAAATTTTTTGGAATTTCTAAATTTTTTGGAATTTCTACATTTTTGGAATTTCTACATTTTTTTGGAATTTCTACATTTTTTAGAAACTTCTACATTTTTGGAATTTTTACGTTTTTTAGAAATTATTCATTTTTTGGAATTTCTACATTTTTTAGAATTTCTACGTTTTTTGGAATTTATACATTTTCATACATTTCTTAGAAATTATACATTTTTTGGAATTGCTAATTTTTTTGAAATTTTTACATTTTTTGGAATTTCTACGTTTTTTAGAAATTATTTATTTTCTTAGGATCGCAAATTTTTTTGGAATTTCACATTTTTTGGAATTTCACATTTTTTGGAATTTCACATTTTTTGGAATTTCTATATTTTTTTGAATTTCTACATTTTTTGGAAATTATACATGTTTTGGAATGTTGTTTGGAATATCAAAATTTTTTGGAATATCAAAATTTTGCGGAATTTCTATTTTTTTTTTTGAATTTCTACATTTCTTTGAATTTCTACATTTTTTGGAATTTTTACATTCTTTGGAATTTCTAAACTTTTTCAGAAATTCTAATTTTTTTTTAGAAATTGAAATTAAGAGAATCGTCAGAATCTTATATGGTTCTGACATAAATTTAATAATTTTTTTATAAAATTTAATAAGTATCTAATAAGAATTGTATAACATAATAATAGAAATCTAATAAAAATCTTATAAGAATCTAACAGTAACATGAATTTTATAAGAATTTTGTTAAAATCTAATGAGAATCTTATAATAATTCTTTAAAAATCTTGCAGAAATCTAACAAAAATCTTTTAAGAATCCAGTAAAAATTTTATTAGGATTCACTGAAAAAATATTTATTTTAGTCGTATTAGACGCTAATTAGATTCTTACAAAATTAAGTTTTGGTTAGATTCTTAAGGAATTCTTATTTGTTTTTTTGGTTAAAACATTCACAATTTCTAATTTTACTTGTGTTGATTTTTCAAAATCCTTATTATATTATCATTGAATTAGATTAGACAAGATTCTTCTTAGATTTTTGTTAGATTTCTATATGTTTCTTATTAGATGAATACCAAATTCTTTCATTGCTTTGTTGTCATTTTGTGAAATCCTCTTGAAATTCTAATTAGATTCTCTATCATTAGTTTTAAGTAAATTTATATATATATATATATATATATATATATATATATATAAATATTTTTGAATAGTCTTGAATTTGATGTTGATATATATGTTTAATTTGAGTTTAATAATCGGGCGTAACATCAATAAAAATAGATTTTATTGACTATTTTTATTGATGTTACGCCCGATTATTAAACTCAAATTAAACAATATATATATATATATATATATATATATATATATATATATATTTCTTATTAATTTATTATAATTTCAGGTTGCTTTGGAACTTTCCCTGGAAATTACGTGGAAAAAAATTAAGCGAGGTAAAACCAAATACGCAACTAAACTAAATATTTAATTTTATCAATTTTGGAAAAAGTTGCGTACGAAATTTTATTGAAAAATTTGTTTTTATTGTTACAGAGTTTTAATTAATTTTATAGATTTTGTTGACATAATATTTACAAAATATATTTATTTATAAGTTATACATATATATTTTTATCAGAGCAAAAATTTTTGAAATTTTTGTTGACTTCCGACAACGTTCTTCCATGTCAGAAAATATGGCCTAAATTTTTTTGTACATTTGTGAATAATTAGTCCGGATTAAATGATAATAATAAAATATTAAATGATGTAAAAATACGAATAAAATAATAAGAATAGAATGTTCTTAGAACAAAAACGAAATAAAACAATCTTTATCAGTGTTTCCCAATCTTTTTATGCTATTTAAATGTGTTCTGTTTTCTGGGGAAAAATAAATAAGGCTTAGAGCATATTATTCTCAATTTTTCAGTTGTTATGACATTTTTTAAAACCTGATAAAATTCTTTTTAAAATCTCACAAGAAGACTAATAAATTCTTACAAGGTAGTTATAAGATTCTTTTTACATTATTTATCAAAAAGATTTATATATTTTTCGATTTATATATTTTAGTAGAATTTTTCTACATTTTTATAAAAACGTAGGGAAATACTGATTTACAGGAAAACAATTAGATAGATTACTGCAAATTATTTAAAATGTTTTAAAATTAGAGTAAATATTTTTTTTGGCGGTGTACGAACAATTTTTTGAATAGTTGTTTTTTGAAATCTGATTTTTTAGAAAAAAAATGTCCAAAATAGTTGAATTGTATTTTAACTGCAAACCGCATTGCCAATTTTTTAAAAATATTTTATATTAAACAACAAAGTGTTCAACACTTTTTTTTAAATGAAAACGGAAAAATATGCGCCATACAAAAATAAATAAATTAAATGTGTTTTGAATATTGAATAATAAAATAGGTATTGCAATTGCATTATCATTCATGCATTTTGCATATTTAAATTAAATTCTTCGAAGTTTCTTCTTGGATTCATATAATATTCTAATAAGATTTATATTGGGCGGCAACATTTGGTTTATAAATCTTTTTTTCTTTCTTTGGTTTGAAATTAATTTGATTAACAATATATATTAGTCAAATATATTAGTCAATATTTAAAACACAGAAAAATTATAAATAAAATCTACGCCAAAGTGCAAAATTTGAACTGTCTACCCAAAAAAATACCCAAAATGTTGTTTTAAATTTCAAAAATCTATTTTATCACTTTTTCACACTTTGGGGCAGATTTTATTGTATTTCTAGACCTTAAGTAAAAATTTGACAATAATATTTATACATATTTAAGAATAGTTAATAATAATATTGAATATCACACACATTTTTGCATAATTCATATAAAAACATTTTAACTTTAAGCATTTTCAAAACAGGTTTCAATTTGGTCATTTATCACAAAAATAATAATAATAAATAATTTATATGTTTATTTATAGAGGTTTCTTAAAAATAACAATTGGGTTATGATATAAAATTTTTAATATGCAACTTTATTAATTTGTTAGATTTTTTTCAAATAGATTTTTGATTGGTAAATGATCAATTTGAAAATTAGATGGAAGGTCAACGACAATTTTGCTGAAGCCACAAAATCTACTAAATTTTACCAAATTTTTTGGAAATAGGTTGATTTCAGTAGCCAAGGACTTGAGGTGGGTTAATGATATTTTTTGTAATATATCAATTTTTACTACAAAACATTTTATTATTCATAATTAATACATTGCAGGGAATGCAATACCTATAAAACAAGTCGATACCGGTTTTTCGGTATTCCGGTATTTTCACTTTTAAAACTTTACGATACGTTTTTACATAACATGAAAACTGCGTTCAAATTATTTGAGCGGATAGTTTTTTTTATAAAAACTCTAAACCGGTTCTAGGAAAAAATACTATTCGAAAACCTGTTTTTCAAAATGTCCGTTTTTGGATAAATTTTCTTGCTCATCGAGCAGTTTTTTTATATCAAGTGGATCGTTGGCTTTATGTCTATACTCATCTTTACTTTTATAATTACTCAAAACCGGTTTTAGGAAAAATTACTATTCAAAAACCGGTTTTCTAAAATGTCGGTTTTCATAGCAAATTTCTTTTTGGTCGTTGGCCCTCCGTCTATAGCCATCTCTAGTCACTCCCAAAACTACGATAATCATAATTCGATTAAAAATATAAACAAAAATAAAAAAAATAGTTATTTCTGTTAAACAAATGTATTATTATTGTTTATTAGTTGTTTAAAACAAAAGAAAATTTATTTTTTAACTTGTATATTTACAGACATGATATGAAATCGATTCAGTAATAAAAAATCAAGTTTTGCAACAAAATATAATTTTAAATTGTTATTTTTATTATTAAATCAATTTTGTATCAGTCTCTTTTAGCACTTTAAAATATTTATTTAAATATATTTAATATATAAAATGTATTAGGATAATTTCATCACAGCTTTGTTCCCAAAAAACATGTTCAAAAAAATCGTTTTTGATGATTTTGGAAACTTGGCTAATAATAATATTTACTTAATAATAATAAACGGCTTTTAAATAAACAAAATAAAATATTGTGCCTTAAGAAAATAAAAACACGATTTGTATTTGCCGGTAAAAGTAAAAAAAAATTAGAAAATATAAAAAAAAATATTAGAAAACAATTATAAATCAGAAACAAAAATAATTCCTTTTGCCATACTTATTAAAATTTTACTAGATTCTTATTATATTTTAGTTAGTTTTTATTAGATTTTTATTAAATACTTATTAGATTTTTTGTTAAAAAGATTCACAATTTTTTATATTGCTTGTGTTGATTTTTTTTAATCAAGTCAAGATTCTTACTAGATTTTTGTTAGATTTTTTTGAAATTCTTATTAATTTTTTTTTGTTAAGAAGATTCACAATTTTTAAGTTTTTCGTACATTAGATTCATGTTAGATTCTTATTTCGTATTAAATTCTCGTAACATTTTATTAGATTTCTATTAGATTCTTAATAATTTTAACTGGTAAAACGATTCACAATTTTTTATATAGTCTACATTGTTTTTTGAAATCTCTTAATTTGATTCCCACACGAGATTGGACTTTTGTCAGATTTTATTAAACTTTTATTAGATTTTTTTGGTGGAAAGATTGACAATGCTTGTGTTGATGTTCTGAAATTTGTATAAGTTTTCTATTACATTTCCACAATATTTTTATCACATTTTTGCTAGATTTTATTAGATTTCTGTTAGATTCTTATTAGATTTTTATGTTAAAAAGATTCTAAATTTTTCACATTTTACTGTGTTGATTTTTCTTATGAGATTCTCATCAGATTTTTGTTATATTCTTACAAACACATTAGATTCTTTTATTTAAAATATCATAATTTTTCATATAAAATTCTCGCAAGATTTTTGTAGAGTTCTTTTAAGATTATTAGATTTTTTGGTTAAAAAGATTCACAATTTTTCATATTAGATTCTATATAAATCATTTTCAATACTAAAATAAAATATTATTAAACGATGGTTGTCAAATATCTCCCTTCCGCCTTTTTGTATTATAAACCAAGAACAAAAAAGCGGAAGGGAGATATTTGACAACCTAATATTTTAGTTAACAAATTAATTTTCGATTTTTCAATGTTTTAGTCAAAAATTTGGAAAAAAACATCGTTTACTGACCTTTGAACAATTTAATAAAAATTGTTAAATGATAATTGTCATTTACCCAATATATTTTATTTTCACCGGCAAATCTCAAAATCGTAAAACTTTTTACTCTAAACTTTAATACTACTACTATACTCTCTACTATTATATATAGATGTAAACCAATCTTACCTTATATCATAATTAAAATAATCAATAATAATATTATTATTAATTATTTTGGCCTAAATACTTTAAAATTTGAATTATCAGTTCAAATTTTGTTGACAAATGTGTAAAGAGTATATATTTTTTGCTAAGTTGACTAACTAACATTCTTAATTAAGTGGAGTCATTAATTATTGTCATATTATATGTAATTAATATATATGTATGCTAGTCTAATAAATTATTATTGAAATGTAGAAGAATAATTTATTATTATAAATTCAAAATAATTTTTTTTAGTCTGTTTTAGTATTTTCCGTACTCAACAGATGGTCGTACTGTGCTCAAATTCATCGCACACGTGTATTTTTTTTTAAATTTTTAGGTATAACCTTTACTTTTCATTTTTATAACCTTTTCTTTCTTTTTAACCTTTACTTTTTTAATAAACATTTAATTTCCTTATAATCCTTTACTTTTTTTATACATATTTGTTTTTATGAACTTTTTTTAAACCTTTTTTTAAAACCTAATTCATTTTTAAAACTTTTTCTTATTAAAAAGGAAATCGTTTTCTTTTCTTAAACCTTTTTCTTATAAAACTTTTCTTTTTTTAAACCTCTTTAAAAAATTCTTTTTTTATAAAAACCTTTTGTTTTTTTAAAAACGTTTTTATTTCTTATAAACTGTTTCTTTTCTTATTAGCTTCTTCTTTTTTAAAAAAAATCCTTTCTTATAAGCCTTTTCTTTTCATAAAAAAATCTTGTGTTTTCTACGACTTTTTATTTTTTAAGACAGTTTTTTGAGAACTTTTGTTGTTTTTAAACCTTTACTCTTTAATCCTTCTCTAAAAAAAAAATTTTTTAAGACATTTAATTTTTTTAAAAAATCCTTCTTTTCTTTGATAACACTTTTGCTTTTTTATAACCTTTTTTAGTTAATATAACATTTTTCTTTTATCAACGCTTTTCTTTTTTTTAAGACTTTCTATTTTTGAGACCCTTTTAAGACTTTCTATTTTTGACCTTTACTATTTTTTAGACCCTTACTTTTTTGAGACCTTTTTTTTATAAACCTCTTCCCTTTATTACTTTTTTTCTTTATTTATTATCTTTTCTTTATTTATCACCTTTCTTAGACCTTTTATTTTTAAGATCTCTTATGTTTTAAGACTTTTTATTTTTTAAGACCTTTTATTTTTTAAGACCTTTTATTTTTCAGGACCCTC